GTAAAGGTCCGGTCGCCGCCTCCAAGGGCACCGATACTGGAATCACGGCATCTCGTATTGTGTAAGGGCGTGAGGAGAATACGGTGGCCCTAGTGGCTTCTTAGGAAGCATTGTGCCTCCACACCGCTCCAACAGAGACTACTTCCCCTCAAAAGGAAGGAACTTCGGTAACACATCCTCGTCTTCACCGGCTCCATTCTTGGTTATCTCGTACCTTTACTTGTGAAAACTTATTAGTGTTACTTCTCTTGCTTGCTTGTGTGCTTGTTGTTGTTGCATAATATAGGTTGCTCACCTAGTTGCACATCTAGACAACCTACTTTGATACAAAGTTTAATTTGGTAAAGAAAAACTAAAAAATGTTAGTTGCCTATTCACCCCCCTCTAGGCAATCATATCGATCCTTTCACCCTTGCCATTACAAATTGCCTTCTTTGTCGCGCAAGTACCCGATCGAAGAGTAAAATATATCATCCGCCCCGTCACTGTCCTCCATCTCCTGTGGGAGCTGTTCGGCCATGGCACGGATTGCCCAGTTTTGCTCCCTAGCGGGGGCATGCGTTCTTATCCTTTGCCATGCCAGCGTGTGATTGCACGTCTACAACTTCGGTCATGAGGGCCGCCCGGGCCTCCTGCCTTCTCTGCCACGCACGGCGGGCACGCCGCACCACTGCCTCGATCGAGTTGTGAGCCATTGACCTCCGACTCGAAGCCCGATGCCATGGGGACGAGACTGTTGGAAATATACCTTGAAGGCAGAAATATTGTATTATTATATTTCCATGTTTATAATTAAGAGTTTATATTATATGTTATAACTGTTGTGATTCTAGAATATGCGATTCAGTGAAAAACTCATATGCACATGTTGAATGATAAATGATAAAATATGATCCTGAAATATGCGATTCAGTGGAAGACTAGCTTATGTGTTGTTGATGGTCATGTTTTCTGGATCTTAGGATATCGTTATGTGTAATGATAGTCATAAAACAACATTGAGAATATGATGTTGGAAAAACAATCATATTGAATCGACCCAAACTTTTTTGTTATACTTTGAGATGCAACTGTCACAAGTCAATTGATATAACATGGAGAGTTGACGTGTGATTTAATTTCTTAGACCATGAGAGTTTGTAGCCACTTCTTACCACGGTGCACTTTGGGGTTGCTCAAATTTCATCTATAACACGGTGATCATAACAACAACTTACAGGTTCATCAAAAAGTTTGATAAGGGACTAAATAATTCACGAGAGGGATTTGCTTGTAACATCCCAAAATTCTAAATTTTGAAATGTTATATTAAATAAATAGTTTTGATTGTTTGTTTGATTATGGTGTGGTTGTTTGTGTGAAATTGAGTGAAATTTGAAACTTTTTGACAGTTGAATGAGAGGGAATGAAATGACTTTCCCAAACTTTCACCTTGCATTTATGATCTTCATGAATTAAAATTCATTTCGTCACAAAAGCCTAGAGTGAAGATGATATGACTTCTTCCATTTAAATAAATGAAATGGGTTTTGAAAAGATTTGAATTCCATTTGGTTCCAAATTCGGAAACTTTATGCAACTCAATGAGTGTCATGAGATAAGATAAAATGACTTCTTCAAATGCTAAGAAAGAGAGTTGAAAGTTTCAAAGAATCAAATTGAAAGTCCCTTTGAAGTTATTTTGAAAACCCACTTTCAATTTGGAGTTATTTGGTTTTATTAAAATTACCTTTTTCCAAAAATAAAATAAATGGAAATAGGGTAAAATAATTCCCTACATTATAAACATAGAGAGAAATGAGTTTGAAATCATTTTGGTATTTTAAAATATTTTTATTTGGTTTTTAAATGAACCAATAGTACTATTTGCTTTACTTAAGTTTTTGTGGAAGTTATTTGCCGCTGAAAATATGTTCATGTTTTAGGAAATCTTTTTCTGAAATTTTTGATATATAATGTGCCTATATAAAGTTTTATTTTATTTTCGTTATTCAGTTTTCCGATCTGTTTCTATTTAAAAAAACTGTACATGCTGCTCATAATTATTTGTTGCCCACATGCGCAGCATAGTAGACAGGCCGGCCTGTATTGTTTTTCTTTTTATTTTCTTTAAGGTTTACAATTTTATTATATTTTTTTATTTCCAAAAAATAAAATTTCAGGAAAGGAAATATAAAAAAACTGCAGTGCAGTGTACGTGTGCGGCCGGGCCGAACTCTTAGCCCATGCACATGATCTTTTTCAATTTCATCTGCGTATCTAAAAAAAATGTATATATTTATTTCACATTGCCTAGCCTTTGACTCCTAAACCTCTTTTCCACTTACAAATAGACCCATAGAGTCTTCAAAAATCATTCGATTCAGGTTAAATTAATATTTTGGTTTGACTAGATTTACTAAAGATAAATATATTTCTCCTCTCCGGCGTGAATTGTGGAAGTCGTCTCCTCTCTCCGAAGTCGTCTTTTCTCCACCTTATAAAGGTATCTTTCTTCGTAGTTTTCTTATACTCACGTAGCTTATTATTTCTAGACTAGCATAGTAGAATAATTAGATTACCAATTAATCTCTGTATTTATACATTAGACGTAAAAAAATTTTAGTCGTAACTATTTTTCTTCCGTAAAACACCTTGGTCCTGATTTTTTTCAAATAGTTACAATTTTTGACTCGTTTATCCAAATTAGATAAAACCAATGCCTACATTTTCGTCTTGATTCCATCTATCTAGTGAATCTATCAAACAAACTTTTTGCAACTTTTAAATTTCGAATATTTGTTCAGATTCATATTCAAACTTTTTTTGATCATATCTTTTTATCCATAACTCCGTTTGCGATGAATCCAATTGCGTTGCATTCGTATCGAAGAAATCTGTCCGTTCATACAATTAGTGTTATCTTTTCAACACATAATTTTGATTATAGTCAGATTATTCTACTAGTCCACAAAGAGTTATCACACCACATTATAAGCAGATTCAATCCTATGTTGAATTATTTGTATCTTTTGATCTATTATTTCCAATCTAGTAATTCTTCCTACATATTCATATCGACTTCCTATATCCAATAGCATCATTAGTTTCAAATTTTGAACCTTTCAAACTATTCGAAACTTCATTTGATCATATCTTGTAAACTGTAGCGCATTTTTGATTGATTCATTTTGCAATTGAATCCCTAAACGTAATCTATCATCTTGAGCATCACCACACTTTATCAACAAAATTAGGATCTACTCTTGCAAAATAATTTGATTTGGTTCTTTTGGATTTTTTTTATTTTTTATTTTACAATGTTTCTTTGCCTTTTCTTCTGGATATGTGAGTGATTGCTTATGTGTGGTTATACTACTTTGCTTACGATGATTGATCGGAGTGTGACAAGTAGAACTACTAGAAATTATGAGTGCGAAGAATCTTCATCAACATTACAAGAGTGGCATGATGAGGTTCTATGAGTATATACATGTTTTGATCTAGATCACATGTGGATGTGAGGGTTTGATGTTCTTATTATGCTTCCCTCGAGTGTTGCTTTCATTTAGTTCATTGATGGCATGATGAAGTTTTATACAAAGTTCTGACAATCGATCGACTCTGGCTATCGATAATCTGTTAACAGTTCTTTGGGATCAAATAAGGTGGCCCATAGTCTTGATAGGCATACTTATGCTTCAACTTCTACTGTTTTTTGGGAGGGATGGTGATCCACCGATGTTTATTATGCCACTTGTAATGAACGATGTAACCATCAACTTTCTGCAATAAAGAGCCACGAGGCATTCCTTTCCAAAGAAATCACTATTCTATGTAGAATAGGAGGGTGCATAAAAAATGTAGAATATGGAGCTATAAAATACTCCGGTGCTGTTTTTAAATATATGAGCGGCATTTTTTCCTCCTATTCTACATGATTATATCGCGAGAAGATATAGCTCCTTATTCTACATAAATGTTTTTAAATATTTTTGAATATATGTTTGTGATGGGTATTTTTTCTTTTTTATACATATTGTAAATTTTTGGTATACATACAAGATACTTTTTATACCAAATAGCATTTCACAAATACTCCCTCAATTTCTAAATATAAGACCTTTTATAAATTTCAATATGGGCTACATACGGATGTATATAAACGTATTTTAGAGTGTAGATTCACTTTGCTCCATATGTAGTCTGCATTGGAATTTCTAAAAATTCTTATATTTAGGAAGGGAGGGAGTACATGATTACCTTTCTCTGATGTTTACATACACCGTGTAAATTTTTCTCATACACCAGAATTTATTTATAGATTTTTAACGTGTGATAAATACATGTTTAACATTTTCCTAAAAAAATTGATGTCTACTTTTTCATACATGTTGTACATTTTTTGTATACATGTAGAACATTTTTTATACGCAATTAACATTTTTCAAATACATGATTATCAATTTTCAAATATATATTTTTGAAAAAAATGGATATGGATTAAGAATTTTTTTGAATATATGTTAAAAATTTAAATGGCACAATTTGTTTTAATGTTATCAACATTTTTAAAATAACACCACCAACTTTGTAAACTGCGTTAACATTTTTTTCTTCAGATTCACGATTTTTAAGAAAAAGTCAGTAAGTTTAAGCTTTTGAATGTCCGTACTTAGAATATTTTGCGAAAATATAAACAAATTTTAAAAAAATAAAAAGAAGAATAGAAAAAGGAAAACTGAAAGAAACGGCTGAGTCGCTACTGGGCCGGCCCACTATATGCATCCTTGACGCGACACTGCTTTCGGTCTCGCACTAAGTGAGGCTTAGACGGCGAGGAATTAGGGTTGTGCGGCGACTAGGTTTTCTTTTCTGCGTTGATTATTTACCGTTGTGATAGCTGTGGTACATGAGTCTTTCCTCTTTTTTTTTGAAATCACGTGAACTGAAACTTACAGTAAACCAGATAAACTCATAGTCGCATGCACTATGCAGTACCTACCCGACACCAATCACAGTCACATCTCCGCAACCTGGCTCGCCGGCCATGTAATGGCGATGGGGCTCGTCACCGTGTGCTTGCGGTCGCTCCACTCGATCGACCCGAACGTGTGATTCCCCGTGACGCTTCCGAAGATTCGTTGCGCAAAGGTGACCACGTACTCCTGCGTCTTCTGCGTCGCGGTGAACCTCAGCGTCCGGGGGCTCACCGTGACGAGCACACCGTCCGGGGCGGTGACCTTGGCCCTGTACGTAGCCCTGGCATCGCCGCCGACGTTGCGCATGACGCGGCGCTGCCTGACGACCGCCATCTTGTTCGTGGCGAACACCACCGAGAAGGCCGGGTAGTTGTGGTCGCCGACGGAGGAGCCCGCGCGCGTCGAGCAGTTGGCAGACGAGCCGAACACGGCGATCTGCTTGTCTGTGTAGCCCAGCGCGCACAGGAAGGTGATGTAGTCCTCGGTGCCGGCGTCGTACACCAATCCTGGGTCGACCGCGCGGTTGGGGTCGACGTGTCCGGCCCCTCGTGCGAATGGCGTGGACGCTTTGCCGGTGGACATGTCACCGATGACGCCGCCGGCGCTGTCCATGTTGTACGCGGTGGTCATCAGGGCAGACTTGATCATGGCGGGGCTCCACTCCGGCCTCGCCTGCCGGAGCAGCGCGGCGATGCCACTCACGTGCGGGCATGACATGGACGTGCCCGATATGATGTTGTACTTCACACGCCTCGTGTCGCTGGGGAGCTCCGAGGGTGAGTTAGCCCCCGTCCAAGCGGCGAGGATGTCCACGCCGGGCGCAGTAATATCCGGCTTGAAGATCTCCGGCGTGCGGGAGTTCGGCCCGCGGCTCGAGAAGGACGCCATTCTAGGGGAAGGAGGCGTCGGGCCGACGACAGTACCACGGAACACGATCGTCGCGGTAGGGGATGTTTGCTCGCTTATGTACTTCTTGATCTTCTCGGCAGCGGCAAATGTGACAGCCGTGGCGGGGTGGACATAGGCGCTGGTCATGGCCTGCTCGCCGTATGCTTCGGGGCTACCGAAGATTGCTCCGGCACCACCGGCGAGCTTTACGGCCTGTTCTTTCGCAGCCCGGGCGTACACGCCAGGGTCGCAGAAGACGATCTTCCCGGCTACCACGGTGGAGTTCAGCTTCCCTTCTTCGCATATTTTCGAGCCCACGTCCCCTGCGTGGACCAGTGGTACCTTGGTCGTGCCCAGCGGCTCGCCCGCGTAGAGAGAAGTACCCGTGAAGGTCTCGCCGTTGCCGAGAACGACGTCGGCCGGGAATTGGCGGTTGAGAGTGGACGCGCCGACCGTCAAGAACCATGGCGCGACGTTGACGGCGGTGGACTCTTTGGGGCCGGAGTTTCCCGCCGAGGCGGAGACGACGATGCCCTTGCTGACGGCGCGGAACGCACCCACGGCGGTCGTATCGCTATAAAAGTCCGGGGCCTTGCCGTTGGAGCCGAGGGAGAGAGAGATAACGTCGACACCGTCCGCGATGGCCTCATCAAACGCGGCGAGGATGTCAGAGCTCGCGCACCCTTTCCAACACACTTTGTAGACGGCTATGCGCGCGCCCGGTGCCATGCCGACGGCATTTCCTCTGGCGTAGTCGAAGAAGGCGCCGTCTGCAACAGCAGAGCCGGCGGCGGTGGAGGAGGTGTGGGTGCCATGGCCGTTGGTGTCGAGCGGAGACTCGGCGTCCTCACCGAACGCACTGCCGAGCGCAGCTTTCTGCCCCTTGTGGAAGAACTTGGCGCCGACGAGTTTGTTGTTGCAGAACTTGGAGCCGTTGAACGACGGTCCCGAGACGCACCCGCCGCGGAACTTGCCGGGCGGCAACGGCGGCAGCGACGCGTCGGCGGAGAAGGACGCGCGGCCTTCCGGGTACACGCCGGTGTCGAGGACCCCGATGACGACGTCGCTGGCGCCGTTGGACGCCGGGAGCAGCCCGGAGGACGGCGAGAGGCCGAGGAAGGACGGCGTGAGGGTGGTGTGCAGCTCCTGCATCACGTCGGGCACGACGGCGAGCACGGAGCCCGAGGAAGCGAGGCGCGCGGCCTGGCGGCCCGTGAGGCGCGCCGCGAAGCCCGTGGCGGCGTGCGAGTAGGAGTAGAGCACCCTCGGCGCCGGGGTGGAGAGCTCGACGGGGATGTGGTCGCGCAAGAAAGAGCCGTACGCACGGGTGGTCAGCAGGCCACGGCGCGGCAGCCGTGGCGCGTGCCCGGCCGCGACGTGCACGATGTAGGAAGACTGTACCTCGGCCGTGCTGATCTCCACCTCCACCTCCGTTGCCGCCACCGGAGCGGCGGCGACGGCGAGGGCGAGCAGGACGCACAGAGCCGCGAGGGGCGTGAGACCGAGCTCCATTGTTGCTGCAAGCGGCCGGTGGTTGCTGTGTGGTAGCAGCGGGGACGGGGAAGACGAATAAGTAGGCGGGCACCGCGGCATGCAGCACGCGGAGGGAGTGGAGTAGTTGCCGATCCAGATCATTGACGGGATTCGAAAGGTTTCAATCTCCGCACGAGGTAGCTCGTGCTGATCATCCTGCCGCGAAGAGAGCTACGAGTATTTTATTGCAAGAAGCCGATAGCGAGACTCGCGTGCTACTTTAAGATAGCCTTATTTTCGATATTGCGCTGATCATCGAAAATTCAAAGGAGTGCTCGTCCTCGCATACTCTCGGTATCACCGTCCGCTCGTTTCTTTCGGGATAGGAGCGGGAGGGTGTATTAGCCTGGTACGCGTCCTGTACTGGTTAGGATTAGGAGCTGCAATAAAACAAGGTTGGCCCCACCATCCTATTGTCGTTCCGTTAGAACCAAACGGTGGGCGCCCTGACCACCCACCGTGTACCCATCGCACAGGAACGATCCTCCGTCTTGAGCCGTGCTACACCGCTTCTGAATCTCAAGTAGTAGAATCAAACTGTGGGCGCCATGACCACCCATCCTGGGTACTGAAAGAGCACAGCACCAGGTGCACATTGAACATGATACACGGGTCCAATAGACTGTAGTTGGAGCACAACAATGGCTTCCATGTTGACGTTGGGCACAAGAACAAGCATGTGCCATGCCGTCATGGTGCTGGCCTGCTGGGAGTCTTGCGAGGGTTGGACACGAGCAGCGGTAGCGACAGAGGTGCACAGCGAGGCGGAGGCGCTGTCGGCCGCGGCCAAGCTGGGCATGGTGATGCCGAGCACCGCCATGGTGGAGACGGGCATGGCGAGTTATGCATCAGCGACCAAGTCGGGCATGGCGAGCCCATTCTTGCCGTAGCTCGTTGTTGTCGGGTATCCAGCGTCGCCTTGTCATGCCAACGTGCTCAACGTTATCATTCTCGCGGGTGTCGTCTTGCATGTTGTGGATAACCTTGTCTTCCTGCGTAACATGGCGCCACCACTGTTCATTCATACACAGGGCGCAGACACGATGGAAGCCGCTGGAGCTTTGTATGACAACCCACACGTGGAGGAGCATCCGGCGCGACGGGGTGCAGGCTGTAGATAGGCTAACGGTGTATGCTTAGACCATCGCGGACATGGTTCGTTGTGTCTATGAAGCCGAAGACCTGACCTTCAGCCTATAAATTAATGGACTTTATTTTATCTTAGACAATTTAAATTGCTCATATCTTTTAAAAGTATAAGTTCATTGTAAAATAATTTATATATTTGAACTCCGGGCGCCAAGACCTTTAGAACAAGAGCAATCTTGGATATATTTCAGATACATTCAAATTTTGACGACATATTTCGCTAGAAAAATGTGATACAATCCTATTTTCATTAGAAACATGTGATACAATCCTATTTTCATTAGAAACCTGTGAAACCAAGCTATTTCACTGGAAACCTGTTTAATCAAAATATGAAACTGAAATGTCAACTAGTGAAACCGATTATATCAAAATGTGTAACGGTTTATTTCAAAATGTGTAACGGTTTATTTCAAAAGAATGAAATATGTTATTCCAATAATGTTTAATTGAAATAGATGTGATTTTTCTGAAACAGGCGGGTGAAAAGTAAAATATGGGTTCTGAAAATGAAAACAACATGAAATAAGCCGGCGAAAAGTGAAATCTGGGTTCTGAAAATGAAAACAATATGAAATTGAAATGTCAACTTGTGAAATTGATTATTTGAAAATGTGTAATAGTTTATTTCAAAAGAGTGATACATTTTATTTCAAAAATATGGAATTTAAAATGTATGCAAAATCAGTCGTGTTTTAAAGGCCTACGACATGAGTTCAATTTTTTTTTCAAATCAGAATGTTGGTTCAAAAGATTTGACCGATTTAAGTTAGCAAAGATGAAATAAATGGATGCATTTGTCTGGGAGAGAAGAGAGAATAAGCAACCCATGCCTGCAGCCCTACGGTACGGCCGTACGTCGTCATACACATTCAAAAGCTGCATGCAAAGGAGCCCACATAAAGTTGGTATTCTCACGTATTTAATTGTGAAACTGTTTGGCTGGTTTATAATCAAAAGATGACACACATCCACATGAAAAGCATCAACGGCTGAACCTTGCACGGTACCAGAATCGCCTCTTTCGATGGCGTTGTCATTTTCGGCGAGTGTGTCATCACAAATTGTTCCACGGTTTGCATGAAAATATTGCCACCTTCAGAAAGGAAGACGACAGTTCTGGAGATCGGAGAAAACACCCCCGCCCGCTCATCTCCATTTGGCCACGACCGGCACGATCTCTTGGCCACGTTATGTGCCATCCGCCCAGGTCTTCGCCGGGTCATGTTGCCTTTTGCCGCCTCACCGTTTACCCCAATGGCCCCACAGCGTATTACCGCCAGTCCAGCACCTAATCCATCGTACCACCGTCAGACATTAAAGCCACTCGAATCTCCAAACATGTCCTCGCCGTACAGATAAAGTGACCAGGCGCGCTCGTCCGCTCCAATGCCACGCTCGCTGATCATTCTCTTTCAAAATTCCTGTAGGAACGCATGAAGTCTCCATTCTGATTTTGGCATGAAAAATATGGAGCATGTGTGTCCCTGAACTGATTGCAGAACTAGTTAAACTCATATATTTTTTATAAGAGTAATATACTTGAGAAAATTATACTGGGCATGCATGTTGAATAATTGAGCATTTTCTTGTTAAGGCCTTCTTTGGTTTGTAGGATTTTTGAATTTTATAGGATGGATTTGCAAAGGAAAAATTTCTTTAAAGCCCTTTGGTTTGTAGGAATGGATCCCTATTCCTATGTAGGATAGGAATCAATCATTCACATTTTGGAGGAAAAAAAATATTAGCCTAGACTCAATTAAAAAAATCCTATCATATACACTAAATGACATCTCTTTCTCTACAGGAATTGACATGCATGTCATCTCACTTTCTATGATTTTCTTATTCCTATAAAATTCCTATACTATGAACCAAAGAAGGCCTAAGTTTAATCCAGAAAAACACTGGAGAAGAGAAAAACAGGGTGATCGGGGACGACAATTCCCTTGCAGAACACCGGTGAAACCACGGCTGCTACTCCCGCACGAGTTGTTGGATTTCTCCGAAGAGAACGCGTGGTGTATCCAATGAAAATAATAGCGTGCTACATGAAAATAGTGCATGCCTTAAAGTACGATATTAGCATCCTATCGTGCTATAACATACTATTAGCGAGACATTATATATAGATTTATTAAGAGATTCATTTCTATCGTGTGCTATTAACGACGCTATAGCACACTATTTTTTTCACTCGATGTAGTACATCAGTATTTCTCTTTGTTGAAAATCAAGATTTAATCGAACCAATAAAGCTGTTAGACATCAGACTACCGATGTTTGCCTTTTATCATACTAGTACGTGGCCGTACGATTAAAAGCACGCTGGCCGTTTGATCTGTTACCGAAGCCCGCATGTGGTTCATTAATTTCTTGCTTCTTGGGGAGGCGTTTTGGTTCTAGGGAACATTTGCTCCCAGATGAACAGTAACGCAAAAAAGTAGTAAAATATTTTTAAAAAATTCTGATTCTTTTTTATCGATGCTCGTGTTAGTGTCGTAGGCACGCTTAACAATTTTCATGCGAAATGGAGCAGTAGCGTTTCGTCGGTGAAAAAAACCAAATTTGGTGTTCAATCTTTTTTTTTTTGCATAGGCCAAAATGTTTAACCTTTCTGCCTAAAACTTTGCAAGTAGCACGTGGATGTGATTATGAATACATAAAAATATGGGATTTTTTTGACATTTCAATGAACATTTTCAAGCGCAGGAGCACGTGCTCATGGGAGCCAAATTTGATTTCCGCTTGCTTCATTGCTATGCTAACTACTCCCGTGAGTTTTGCTGCTTCCCGCTCCCTTTGTTTAATAATATAAGAGTGTTTTTGACACTACACTAGTATAAAAAACGCTTTTATATTATGAGACAGAGGGAGTAGTAATTTGTTCCCTAGAATCACGCCAAACTTCTCTTTAAGAAAAATCTAGTAGTGTTGAAAATACTTTTGGTAAATTGTGATGTTTCCTATCGAAGAATCTGTTAAATTAGTTATGATTTATTTTAAGATCTATTTTTAACAATGGAAACACGTTTTTATGCGACAAGAGCATTCTTCATGATAGATGGAAGCACCATTTTTCTGACATAGTAGAAACATATACTCTCTCTTCACATGATGGAAACAACTTTTGAGACGAGTAATTTTGTTGTGTGTCTTGGGAACAATTTGGTGCTTTGGAAACAAATTTCCATAATTCCATCTGACGGAACATTTGCTTCGCAAAAACAATCATGCGGAAACACAGCAAGAAATACAGAATTGAAACAAACTCATTTGATACGACCTACAATTTAGACCCTCTCGTACAGAAATAATAAGCAAAACATTACAATTACAATAACACTATCATTTCCCCGTAGGAAGGCAGTGCAAGCATGTTGAAGGGCTGATCATGGATGAGCTCCAAGCTTAAGCCGAGCTAGCTCCTCGTCGCCAATAAGGCATCCAAAGATAGGTACTAGGCTGAGGACGGACAGGATGCTGTTGGAGCGTCATGGGGGAGAGCGTATCGGGTACTCCAGTGGATGGAGTACTCCGGCTACACCCTGCAGAGCACATTCGTTGGATGAAGTTTGTAGGTACAGGATGGAAGTAGAATGCCTCATCCTTCCAATTTTGCAAAGAACACCCCATGTAATGATAGTATTGTTGTAAAGTTGTCATCATCTAGCTTCAAAAAACTGTGCTGGCTCAGATTTGGAACAGAAAGAACACACACGTCTTGTACCTCCGTACATGATTGTTTCATGCTGACGCTTTCAGCTTCATCTGTATTATATAAATTCGATGCGAGCTAGTTGTAACGCCCTCGATGCGGCTATATTTCCTACGTGTCGAAGCACGATTTAGAGGCATAATCGCATTGAAAGCAATGTCACAAGTAAGGTAATCTTCAGACAACCCATGTAATACATAAGGGAAAAAGATACATAGTTGGCTTACAATCGCCA